ACTAGATCGCTTATACTCTATAATTTATATTTTCTTATTTATTGATAAAGAAAAGTTAAAATTTTATGCCCCGTCTTTGATAAGACTTATATACCTAAACTAAAAGTTTCAAATATTAATCTTTATTTAAAAAGAGAGTACTTATAATTTATTCTTATTATAGGCCCATTTTTCTATATACTATGAATTAAAATTAAAAAGTTCAACTCTCTTTTTATTTTATAAGTAATAATAACTAACGTACTTGATAAGCGAGCTGCCCACCCAACCGCGTTCATCCTTCCTCCTCACTTCTAATGCGTATCACGCCACAAATAATCATGTCGTCACAAAGCAAAGAGGCCCAATTGAACTTAGCAGTCGAGGCTATCCAAAAAAAACCTAAACTCAGCATTCGAGCCGCAGCAAGAATCTATTCAGTCCCCCCTAGGACCCTAGGCACCCGATTAAAAGGCACACCTACACGACAAGATACTATACTTAACTCACGTAAATTAACGGAGCTTGAAGAGGAGAAGCTAGTTGAGTATATCCTCGACCTGGATTCCCGATCGTTTCCTTCCCGGATCAGTGGTGTGGAAGAAATGGCTAATCGATTGCTCGCCGACCGCGACGCGCCCCTAGTTGGGAAGCGCTGGGCTTTAAACTTCGTTAAACAATAACCACAGCTCCGGACGCGCTTTTTTCGCAAGTACGACTTTAAGAGGGCCTAATGCGAAGATCTAGATGCAATAAACGCGTGGTTTCGGCTTATAGCGAACATAATTGCGAAATACGGCATTATAGACTCCGATATTTATAACTCCGACGAGACTAGGTTTATGATGGGCTAGATTGTATCCGAGATGGTCGTCACGAGTGCCGAAAGGCGTTTAAATACAAAAATGATATAGCCTAGTAATTGTGAATGGGTTACAGTTATTTAGGCCATTAGTTCGTCAGGCTATAGCGTTCCGCCATATATCATCGTTATAGGCCAATATTACCTCTCTATTTGGTATATAGAAATGATTCTCCCATGCGACTGGGTTATTGTAACGTCTGAAAACGGATGGATAACAAATGAAAGAGGCCTAGACTGGCTCCAGCACTTTGATCGGTATATAAAACCGCGTACAACTAGCAGTTATCGCCTCCTCGTCGTCGATGGGCACGAAAGTCACCACTCTGCGGACTTTGAGATATATTGCAAAGAAAACAATATCGTCACACTCTGCATGCCGGCCCATTCGTCTCATCTACTTCAGCCTTTAGACGTTGGGTGTTTTGGGCCACTAAAGACGGCTTATGGTCGACAAATTGAGGATAAGATGCGCCGGGGTAATACCTATATTACGAAGGAGGACTTCTTCCCTGCATTTCACAACGCTTTCACGCAAGCCCTAACGGTAAAAAACATCCAGGGAGGCTTCAGAGGGGCCGGGCTTGTTCCTTTAAGTGCCGAAAGTGTGCTTTCAAAGCTTGATATCAAGTTATACACTCTAATACCCTCAGGGTCCCTACTAATAACACCCCCTGCGTGGACTTCTCAGACGCTAAATAACCCAATAGAGGCCTCTTCTCAGTCCGAACTCATCAAAAAGAGGATCTCCCGCCATCAAAATAGCTCCCCAACTTCAATTATTGAAGCTGTAGAGCATTTATCAAAGGGAGCGCGGGGATTTATGCACCAGATTGCCTTATTAAGGTCGGAGGTCCAGATCCTCCGGGAGGAAAATAACCTACTAAGCCGACGCAGGAGGGCTAAGAAAACACGTCTCAGACAAGGAGGAAGTCTTACTGTAGCTGAGGCAGAGGACATTCAGTCGCAGAGAGAGGCTACGGCCCAGATTGAGGAGGAAACGCGCCAGAGTAGTGGTCGTCGGCCGAGGACAGAAACAGGTCGACGGCGATGTGGCGTCTGCGGAAACACTGGCCACAATGCGCGAACATGTCAGTTTAATGAAGAAATATCTGAGGAATAGGATTCAGAGTAGTTTCAATTGATTTTATGTTTTTAGTGTTGCTTCTTAGACAGATTTATAATGTGATCATGGTTAGGTGGGCAGCTCGCTTGTCTGGGCAGCTCGCTTATCAAGTACGTTATCTTTAATACATTATTAAATTAGTTTTTAAAATATTATTAATTAATTATTATTTTAAAGATTATAGAATATAAGCGATCTAGTATATCATAAGAAAGTGTGTCGCTGACTGATATGCGTCGCTGATTGGTAAACCACGTTATCTTGTATTTAATTATATTTATAATATAAAGTATTTTAATTATATTTTATATCCATTAATAATTATAAGAGAGTTATATTGTTTCAAAGAATAATATCGACCGTCTTTGTTATTAATATCTCAATATAAAAGACGTAATTTATTTTAAATATTATTTAAAATAATTAAAAAAATAATTTACTAATTTTAATTATATATAACGTGGTTTACTAGTCAGCCGCGCATATCAGTCAGCCGCGCATTTCCTTATCGTATACTAAGTCGCCTACATTACATAATTAATATCTTTTTCATTGTTGGTTATATAACGTTCAAAAATTTTCATTAGTCTTTGATAAGAGTCACCAAACTAAATAAAAAGTTTTAAAAATTAATTTCTATTTAGAGATAGAGTAAATATATTATATCCTTATCAAAGACCCATATTTCTATTCCACTACTTATTTCAATATAAAAAGATTAAAGTGTCTTTTTCTATTAAATTTAACTAGTTATATTTTAGATATATTATAAAGACACTGAATTTTTTTTAATTAGTTATTATTCAAAGAAATTAGGTAAATATGCAATTTAGTATGCGATAAGGAAATGCGCGGCTGACTGATATGCGCGGCTGACTGGTAAACCACGTTATATTTCTTTGATTAAATATTTAATAATTGATATTATAAAGATGTTATTTTATTTAATTTTCTTTTCATTTTAAAGTTATCAAAATCAATTATAACCTTAAATAATAAAGAGTTTCTTTAATTACCCTAAAATCTTAAAGTTTATTTTAAAATATAATATTCAATAATAATTAATAGATATTAGAATAGTATAATTATTCGATATACAATTTCATTAGTTTTCTTTTTGCCCCTTAATTAGAGGCAGGGAGACGTAGAGGTATAGCTACTTGCCTCTTCAGGCACGATAATGCTGGAGAGGAGCCTCTGGAATGGGCCATTCGAGAAACACGCGCACAAGGCTGCGCGACATGACGTCCGACGATGCTTCCTTAGCTCTAGAGGGACACGGAAGAGCCCAAGCCAGTTGACGTCGGTTGCTCTGGGTACACCAGCCAGACGTGCGACAAAATCGACCATGTTTTGGAGGAAGAAAAACGCGGAGAAATTCTTCCAATCTTTCTCGAGGAGGCGCCGGTCACCAATCGGCGGCCCATCGCCTTACAGTACGCCTGACCCTGCATGCAGCGCTGCAACAGACAACCGCCAGCTCAGCCAGTCACCCTCATCGCAGTTGGGCTCCTCTGCTCTGTCGGGAGCCAATAACCCTTTAATTGGATTGGGCTGGGATTGGACGATGCCTGCCGCAACGAAAAAAAAGGACCACCACCAAAAACCCCTGCGATGCAGCGATGCAGCGGTGCGCTGACCTTCCACTCTTGTTTTCCACGACCCTGGTCCGGATGATGCGGTTCCTACCCCTCCTTTTCTCACTCATCATGGCGAGAGGGGTAGGTATACCGTATCGGTATCCGTACACACTTCGGCCTTCCCTCGCCGTTGCGGGTGATTTCATGTCACAGGCGAAAGGGTTGCATGTGTTGGCTGCGCTGCTTCTCACCCCAGAGCTGGTGACAACTCAGAGCCACATTTTGTGTCGACCCTGGTCTCTTACAGCAACGCCGAGGGACACTGGTCTAGTCTGCGTGAGCCACCAAACTCCTCAACTGCCCGGCACCAGCATCGGGGAACCGAGCAATACTGTCGCTGGTCGCTGGGTCATCTTGACTGTCGAATTCTGCGCCCTGTCTATAAGTCTAGATGACACTTTCTCAACATCATCCGAGACCCAGGTACAGCCATGCATGACTATGTCTAGGCGGTCGTCAATAACCCACAGCTTGCATCCGCGACCATGTCCGCATTGGGTAGTCCATGATGTCGCTAACCCACCTACTGGATGCGATTTCGTACTTGTACGTACAGGACGCATGCGACTGTGAGAAAACTCCATGGAACAGCGAGGCGAATCTAGACCATTGGATGCCTCCCGCATCTACTTAGCCCGCGGCTGATCACAGATGAGGAAGCCCACATCGTGCCTCTCGTTGGGCATCAGTTCAAGCAAGCATGATATCACGGCTGTAGGAACCCTCAGAACGGGACATCAGTCGATCACCGCAGACCTCACGTTTCATCCCTTGGCAGCTTGCGAATCGGATGACCGCCCTCTGCCCATCAGACAGACGGGCTCCATATACGCACACACGGGACAGCATCTGACTTCTGGCCAGGCTCCAACCCGTCGTCGGCAGCATGGGCCGGTCCGCCTCCGTTCCGTGTGCCTTCTCTCCCGAGTGGCAGACAAATCTTTTGTGTTTAGCGTCTTTCTTCCGAAAGGAACGATGTGAACTAATAGGTAGGCGTTGGTCTTCGTAGCCTCGAAAAAAAAAGGGGGCTTTCATACGCGAACTGCCGTAAGGTTGTCAGAGGCCTCGCGCAGCACACCTTTCCGTCACTAGGCCGCATGACAAGCAGCCAGTAAGCACGCCTCGCCAGTTGGGCCGATCTCAGCCAGCCATCTTGAATCGCCATATGTGCCAATGACTTTTCCTGAGTGGTGTGCTAGTCTGACGACTTTCTCAAGTACGCATCTTGTTGGGCACTGAAACGCGGTTACCGCCGATATCTATTGCTTCTGATGTCTCTCAAGCCTACGACGTTGGACAACGCATTGCTGCCACTGTGTGGTCTTCATGTCTCTATTTTCTGAGACGTATTGCTGAGTTGGCTTCCTCCCTCATCGTAACATCAACCATGGGTATATTCGATGCCGCCTCATTTTTGACGCCTTTAATATTTGCATGACGGCTTTGCTGTCCCTGTGCCATTCTGTGTTGGCCGCAGCTAGAACTCGTGGTCGAAAAAAACTGAGCGAAAGTCATCTTCTCTCACCCAATCCAAGGGTCCTTGTGCTGCAAAAAGACTCTCGAAGCCAACGCCGCCGGACTGAACCTTTTCGTGACCCAAACCTAGTTGTTCCTAGATAGTCTCAGTTCTGGACAACCTGAACGTTGTTCTTCTTCTATAAATCCATATTCGTCAGCAATTGGTTACAGCCCAGTGACATTATGGTGCGGGAAAAGGAGCATCCTTCAAAGCCCAAACGAACCTTCCACTTCTCCAGCTCATCCTGCTTAGCCTTGTACTGCTTGACAAGATCTTCCAGGACTTTCTTCAGACCTTCCGAGTTGGTCGTCAGGGCGGGCATGACGTCCTTGACCGTCTGCTCCATGAGGACCCCGTTGATGAGGCGGAAGCACTTCCGGTCCTCGGACAGCGGTTGCAGGGTCTCTAGGACAAGCCTGTCAATGAGTCAAGTCAGAAACGAATCATTTCCATAATAGGCGGTGTGCCGGGGGAAGAGGTGAAGGGGGCAGTTCATCAAGGGTTGTTGTTTGAGTTTCTGAAGGAGTGAGGTGTGAAGAGCGGTGTGATGGAGGCAAAGAGTTGGCGACGGTCATGCCGGAGTGAGTTCCGGTTTGAGGATGAGGAAGAAGGAGAAAATCCATCATGTGCCTTGCCCCTCCCCTTTCCCTGAGCGGCGCAGGGTTCACGATATCATCCAGGGTATGGGTGATTGTCTTCCTCTGTCCCTCTATCAAGGTTGCGCCGTGGAGGTGAAGGAATGGGATGAAGTGAAGATGAGGAAGACGAGAGAAAGAGAGAAGACGCACTTGTGTTCTTCAGCTTCTTGTTCTACATCGCCAATCTTTTGCGCAATCTGTTGGAGGGTGTTCTTGTAGACGCCATACTGCGTTTGCAGGTCTAAAAAAGCAGGTTAGCATGGAAGCATGGCGGGGTTATTATATCTCATGTGTTTCTTGGCCGACGGTCGGGAATAGTGAGTTGAGCCAACTTACCTTGCTGCTTCTTCTGACTTACTTGCGCCGCCATCGTGAAGGGGAAACGTCTGTAAAGGTAAATGGAGGGGTGTTGATGAGACCTCGTTGAAGAAAGTGAGGTACGATGCAGGCAATCAGTGAGGGACGAACGAACAAGCCTGAGGTAATCGACCCTCCCTCCACCAAGCAGTGACCAACTGTGGGATGGAAGTTCTAGAAGGGCATTCAAGGTGGCCCGAGCTTTTGCCGGGCTCGCTCTCTGAATCCATGACTGAGTGAGACCTCCGAAAATGCACAAAGCCCGGCGCGCCGTTCTGTCTGCTCCATACCCCACCGAGCCGAGTGGTCTTATCCAATCCCTCGCAGGCCAATTCCCAATCTTTTATCGGCATTGAACTTCACCGGGAAATTCCTCTGGCGCATTCTATTCGTACAAAACACAAGCAAACGCCGACGACGACGAAGAACCTCTTTCCTCCCGCCGACAGACTGACCACTTTTTTCCTTGCCTTTCCCAATCCTACAGACAAACACGAGAACTCGAGTCAAAATGCATCCTCACCTGCACACCAAGGACAACTTCGGTCAGTCACGCAACAAAAGTGCACCCGTCATGATTCCATCCGCGCCCCTCCTCCTACTCCTCTCCCTGGATCATCTAATCCCCGTCGCAATTGCCACCACAACCCCCCTTCCCCCTTTCCTCGGGTCTCGTACCAACAAGAGAGAAAGTCCATACTAATCGCTTTTCCCGCGAAACAGAGTGCGAAGACATCATGGTCGCCCTCGAAGAGTGCCACGCAAAGGGCTTCATGTTCAAGTCCCTCGGCGGCTGCAACGACGCAAAGGATAAAGTCAGCGAGTGCCTCCGCGGCGCGCGCGCGAGGCGCACCGAGGCGAACCGGGCAGCTGCGAGGGCGAAGAGGGAGGAGCGCGAGAACCGGATAAAGGAGCTGAACAAGTCGCTCGGTCTCGATTAGATCTACGGGGAACAGCGATCCTTGAAGCGAACGACACGAACGAACCTCTGGCCCCCCTTGCCATTGAGACGATGGGCCAGACTGGGCATTGTATTATATCACGAACACTCGCAATTACATCGACTTTTGGCGACGGCATGGAGCGGGACGGAGGAATACCAAAATTACCAAAGGGTTTGGCGTCCTATAAGGGAGCAAAAGATTGTACCATGTACTGTATCAAAACCGGTCCGAACCAGCGGAGAGGAAAAAGACAGCAAAGTTATTGAATAATTGTATTCCTATAGTTACGAAGCCAGTGCAAACAACACCTGTACTCTTTTCACCCAACAATCCTACAAATCCTCTCGGACACTCTCTCTTTACAAGGTGCGACGGAACTCGTTGCCAAAGGTGAAGAGACCAAAGACGGACAACACACTGAGGAGGATTGGCACAGGCTTGCGGAGGCGGATGGCGCGGGGGATGGCGGAGCCACCGAGGACTGCCGAGGCGAGCAGACTCAGCTCGACGCCGTAGGGCTCGCGGTTCTGGATGCGGTAGCCGCCGAGGCCGTCTGCGTGGGTTGGGAATCCGAGGTCAGTCCACTAGATTGCCAATCTACTTATGCGACAACGCGGGGCAGGGATGCTGGGGGAGTGGATGGGGATGCTGGGGGAGTGGATGGGGATGCTGAGAGATGAAGGAAAGGGAGAAGGCGGGGGATTGTACGTACAGAGAAGGCCGACGCTGACTCCGGCGACGATGGACGGGACGGACTTTGTCCGGGCGTAGCCGGCGATGCCGCCTCCGGCCGTCAGTACGGCCAGGGCGAAGGAGGGGATAGAGAGATCTGAGGACTGCGCATGTTGTCTCTTATTAGCTATGTGTTCTCTTTTCCGAAAGGCAAGTCGTTTTACCATGTTGAAGTATTTGATTGTGAGAATTGGCTGCGAGAACAAATTCAATCGGTGTCAAATTTGCAATCGAGTTGAATTGAATTGAGAGAGCAATTGGTTCCTTATGAGCAAAGATGATGGAAGTTCCGATGTTGCTTCGGTGCCTCGGGAAGTCCAAGCTTCAGCCGCCCGCCCACTCAAAAAGAACAGCTCATGAGAGCTGCTGGATGATCTCATCCATTCCCGGGACCCTTACTAATCACGACATTTCATAATTCCAGGGGCACGCACCGGGAGTCGTCAGGGACCACTGAACTGCTACCCCAGATTCGTGGCTTGGCAACGCTTCTGTGCAGGGATAAGAGGCCACACCAGCCACACCCATCACCTGACGCCCTGTGGCTTCAAGCTTTCGTGTCCTCCAGAGCTCCCCCCCCAGCTCTCAATTGCAGCAATCGGCCGCAGTTGCAGTACGTACGCCAGCAATCGAGACAATCTGGAAGGAGACCTTTCCTCAACTTTTCGGTCCACCACCAACACCGATCTCACGATAGACCTTCGAATTCCTTCCCAACAACACTCCCCCCGACCTCGACGTCCACAAACTTCAACAATGGCGCCCAAGCGAACCGCCTCCTCCCAAAAAGCTGCTGCTGCCGCTCCCGCAGTCTACCACCCCGAGCCGCCCACCTCGCCCGCAGGACCGACCACCGCCGCCGCGATCCAGGGCACAATGACCTCGCAGCCCAAGGCCGTCCCCATCACCATGACCCCCAAGAGCACCGGTGGCAGCGGCGCCCATAACTGGGACCAGGTCCTTGCCAACATCTACAACCACTATGTCAAGAGCACGCCGCAGCGCACCAAGCTGATTGATGTCTTTATGGCCTTTTTGGTCGTTGTTGGCGCGCTGCAGTTTTTGTACTGCGTTGTTGCTGGAAACTACGTATGTTTTTTGTCTTTCTTTTACATTATTTCTGTTGGAGAGTTACAGAAGGGGACTTTTTGGTCGAGTTGTAGTTTGAACGAGGAACAATGGCGATCAAAAGATGGCAACTTTACAGAAGAACAATCGCTAACATTATGATGCGAAACAGCCCTTCAACGCCTTCCTCTCTGGTTTCTCTGCCACCGTCGGCCAATTCGTTCTCACCGGTAAGGCGCACTCATAGCAATGTGAGTTTCAATGGCTAACAACAGTCCCCAGCATCCTTGCGCATCCAGACCACCGAGGCCAACAAGTCCGATTTCCCCTCTGTATCACCCGAGAGGTATGCCAATCCCTTTCCCAGAGACCACAGACTATAGAAGCTAACACTGCAATAACAGAGCTTTCGCCGACTACGTCGCATGCAGTCTGATTCTGCACTTCTTCTGTGTCAACTTCATAAACTAAGGGCACATGCCAGATAAAGCAACAGGAGAGGTTTCTTCCTTACGGTCAGGACAAGATTAGGGGGTTGGCTCCCAAATCAAAGACAGAGGTTCGATGTGGGGGTAGATAGACCAATTGGTGGTGAAGCATCAAAGCTACAACATCACGACCGCATGAGCATGCGGAACGAACAAAGCAATGTATATTATTCGAGCAGGCGTTGCATCACAGCACGGTAGATGTCTAAGAGCAGAAAAAAAAAGTGCAATTCTGGGAATCATCATGACAGTGGACTCCAAAATTCTAGTTCTATGAAAACGACACACGCCCACCAACCTCAGCCTCCCAACCCTCTCTCCATCACTCAGAACCCTCCTCGGCCGCAGGCTGATCCTTCGGCGGCCCCGTCGACCCAGCTCTAGGCGGCGGCGGCGGTCCCCCCATCTTCGGAGGCGGCGCAACAGGCGTGCCCCTCCCGCTGGGCGCATTGTCCGCCTCCCTGCTCTTCTTCTCCTCCTCCTTGAAGTAGTCGTCCATAAAGTTATTGTTTCCACCGTGGGCCCTCTCCTTCTTCTTCCTCGTCGTCGCCGTACCCGCAGGAGGCGGCGGTGCGGCGGCGCCCGCGTCCACCATTTGCGCAGGGACCAAGAAGTCGCCGCCCGTCGGAGCAGGCGGCGCGCCAAGACCAGGCGTGGCGGGCGTGAAGAGGTTCTGCTGCACCTCGCCACCAAGGGGAGCCGCGTTCCCGTACAGCGCGGCAGCCGGGTCCTTCTCCCCGCCAGCGTCAAACATCATCTCGCCCGGCGCGTCGACGGGCTCGTTCAGCGGCGCGGGCAACCTGTGCAGCGCACCGTACCCCAGCACGCATCCCAGCGCCCCTTCGCCACCCCACTCGCGCGTCGGCTGGATCGTCACCTCGCGCGTGACGTCGTACTCGTTGTTATACACGTACAGCCTCAAGGGCCGGCCAATGTGATCCTCGACGAGCTCGCTCAGCCCGCCCTCGCCGTGGAGGGCGCCCTCGGGGCTGCCGAGGATGTAGTCGCCGTAGGGGAGGAGCCCCGCGCCGTCGGCGGGAGAGTTTGCTGCGACGTCGAGGACGTGCCAGATGTTGGCGGCGACGGCGAGAGGGGTCCACTGTAGGGAGAGGCCGAGGGAGGCGGTGTCGTAGGGGACGAGGGCGTGGATCTCGCGGGTGCGTTGGCCTTTTGCGGACCAGAGGCCTAGAGAGACGGAGCCGCCTGCGCAGTTGCGGACTTCTTGGGCGAAGAGGCTTGGGTCGGGGTTGTCCTGGTGAGGAGGAGTGGCTTATTAGTATTTAAGGTAGTTTGAGAATGTGGGAACCACAGGGTACGTACGATGGGCCGGCCGTTGATACCAATGATGAAGTCGAACCAAGGCTCGACGTTGAGTTCGAGGTTCGTGTTCCGGAGGACCTGGAAACCGAACGAGCCCTGGTTATTCTGCTGGGTTGGTTGCTGCCCGTCCAGGCGGGACATGAAGCGGTTCAGCGCATTGAACATGGTGATGCGCTCGTCGCTCGAGCCGAGTTTTCCTCTTGTATCGTTGTGTGTCTGTGCTAAGCCGGGTTTCAATCGTGGTATGGCGCTCGAGATCGGTATTGAGGCTTGTGGTGATTATTTACTCAAAGTTTGTCGTTGCGAGCATTCCATTCGTTCCTGTTTGAAGCAAGCTGTCATCCAAGGTCCCTCGTCAGCCTTGCAGATGATCCAAGCTTCTTCCCACGGTGGCGGGGCCACCAAGTGGGACCCTGACTTTTAGCTTCCTCTCGCTTCAGCCTCGTTCATCCCATTTTCATCACCGAACCTTCGACACCTTTTCTTACACAGATCAACATGTGATTTTGTTCCGATGAGTCTGACGGACTAGACTTTTGAACTCATTGAATCTCACAATTTTGGAAAGAAGGTGGACTTGAGAATACCTCGTACTTCATGCATCACCACCAAAATGAAGGCCGCCACCAGACTCCCCCTAACGGATGAGTGCCATCACTACAAGTCCAAGGCAGAAGTGCCTTGGGATCTCCAAAAGTGAGCCGCTTCTCTCTCCTCAGGTAGATCACGTTCCTCGTAAACAGCAGCTAACAAAACACCTCTAGATATTTTTCCCAGCGCTACTCCATCTTCTCCTGGTACGACGAGGGCGTCTACCTCACAGACAGCGCCTGGTTCGGCGTGACCCCCGAACCCCTCGCCAACAAAGTCGCAAACGAAATGTACCACATCGACGCCTCCAAGCGCGTCCTCGTCGACATATTCGGCGGCGCCGGCGGCAACACCATCGCATTCGCCCTCTCGGCTCGCTGGGACCGCGTCATCTCCATCGAGCGCGACGCCGCGACCCTGGCGTGCGCCCAGCACAACGCCGAGCTGTACGAGGTCGCGGAGTACATCACCTGGATCCACGGGGACTGCTTCGACTATCTCCAGAAGCTGAGAGAGAGCCCCGACGAGCTAAGCGAGGAGTTGAGGGTTGACATGGCCGAGACGGTGGTCTTTGCTTCGCCGCCTTGGGGTGGGCCTGGGTACCGGACCGCCGAGGTGTTTGATCTGAGCAAGATGGAACCGTATAATCTGGAACAGCTACACGAAGCCTGCAAACCCATGGATCACGCACTGTATCTTCCTCGAACAAGTGATCTCAGACAGGTGGCGAAGCTAGCTCCGGAAGGGGAGAAGCTCGAGGTGGTGCAGTATTGCATGGAGGGGGCGAGTAAGGCCATGGTGGCATTCATACCAGGAGCATTGAGTACAACACAATCAAAACCTTAATGAATATTCCTTCTTGTTCTGGCTCTTTCAAATATGGCCACACTCTAACAAGCAAAACCTACTTTTACAACGCCTTGACAACGCTACGTTCATCGAACAAATCCTTCAATAAACCCTGAACACAAAACTCCCGGTCTAGTGGCGCCATTGCATAGGTCGACTCGAAAGCATAGATACTAAGCTGTCCAAAGAGCGGCCGTAGGATCTTGCCAACAAGCTCGTCCTTTCTTTCAATGCTGACTTCGTCGTTGATGCCGCCAGGTCCAAGCAGTGGCCGTCTGTGGGAGCTGCTCGTGGCCAAGTGCGCCGCCGGATTACTACCTAATGAAGAGCTGACACCCATAGTGCCAAGCTCCTCTGCAAGCTCGTCGACAAGTGCAACAGGTTGATAGTTGGTAGAGCGATACACAGCGTCGATGGTGTCCGTGACGAAGAGCCACTCATGAAGCTGGAAGTCATCAGGCGCAACGCAAATGAGCAGGTCTAGCAACTTGCAGGCTTGTAGGATAGAAATGTTGTTGTAGGTATCAGATGCGGTGCTGTGATCGGCAGCTACGACAGATGCGATGGCTGCATGAAGTTCGGCATTGATGATCGGCCACAGCATGGCCAGGTGGATAGCACTGGTCTTCAGTACAAGTGCGCGGACAAGCATGAAGATCTCAGCCCTCGTTGTAGAGGAAGGTGAAGACGTCGCCGTGGCGCCGAGAAGTTCCACTACTTTATCAGTGATGATGGGAAGCTCTGTGACAAATGCGTCCTCTGTAGCTGCTAGGACTAGTGATGCAGTGCGACGAAGGTTGAGCTGCGTCCTCCGGTCTGCCTCCAATCGAGCAGAAGTGGCACCAACACCAAACACGATACCGGCTGTGGTGGGCGGAGTCATGCGGGCCAATAGCTCAGGCATACGTTCCTTATCACTGACGGTCCATTGTCTAAGCAACGGCAACCAGTCGCTTCGTACGAGCTCAATGCTCGAGCTGAAGAACCGAGCATCGTTGAACGCGTCTCCGACATCCTTCTTCCAGGTCTTTTGGTTGTTGGGCAGCCTGGACAGTTCTTGTAGTAAGACTAGTGTATTTTTGGACACAGTATCAGGGAATGCCTTCGCTCTGAAAGCTGGGTTGATGACGTTTGTTGAAATTGTGCCGGCTGCAGACAGTACACGGTCCGTTTCGACTAGGATCTTGGGAAGGTTCGGCACGATTGAGGCCAAGATTGCGACCACATCCTCGGCTCTATCGAGGACGCTGACCAGGGCAATCGTGGGAGCGCGGCGAATACCGTCGCGGTTCTTTTCCGACTTGTCGTTTGGTGCCGTATCTGAAAACGTCAAGGGCTTAGTTGTGAATATCGCGGTTAGGAGTCGGAGGAACAGGTCCTAGCATAGTTGTTAGTAAGTTTTTTATAGATGGCGATAGAGTCACAATGCTTACCCCGAGCTCGCGTCTCATCTTCCGCTGCTCTCCGAAATTGGTGTTGTCAACCTTTTCGCCCAGGATAGCCGCGAACTCCAAGAGACTTGGGAGTGTCTGCCTGTGTGGGAAAGGATTCGTGAGCAAGTCGCGCAGGAACGCCATGCAGTCAAGCCAGATCTCGTCCATCGCGTCGTCTTCCAGCGAGCGGGCATATTCAACCAGAAATGTAACTAGGTCAACGTCTTGGAGAGATGTTGTCAACGTTGATTTTCTTGAGGCGTCCAATGCCCCAGGGTTTGTTCTGCTGTAGATAGCGTTAAAGATGGCAGGGATGGTGTGCTTTGGTCGTGAACCGTCCAATGCTGGCAAGAGGTTGAACACTTCTGACTGTGGTATAGGCGTGGTAATATTGATAGAGCCTCGCCAGATTTCGATGACTGTCTCGAGACACTCCAAGGTCTCTGCTGCGAAAAGATGCTCCAACAGTCGTCTCGCCCGATTCCTCATTCGAAGAGATGTGTAGTTGAAAGACGAGACAGAAGTCAAGTCCTGGGCATTGATATCGCCGCCCTGGCCCCAGGACCATATTGTGAAGCAAATGCGAACAGCATCTGCAAATGCAAGGTGCACCGTGAGTCTATCATTTGCAGTGGCACTCCGCGCCTGTGGGGCATCCGAAGTGAAGACGCCGGATACCATGGTGCCGAAGAATCCCGATGGCTGCTGATCCGGACCCTTGACAACTTGCGTTCTGGCCTCTTCAACCAGAAGCCGCTCGTGTGCCCGGGCCAGTACTTGCTCCAAAGCGTTGAGTAGCGAGATCAGCGTAGACTCTGGTGCATTCCAATCATCCTTCTTTGAACTGCCGTTGTCTCGGAATATGGATTGCAAGTCGCTGAAGGTATTGGAAACTTGCCGACATAAAGTCTCCACTAGAGGAATGAGAACCTGGAAGACGGTATCGGAGTAGAACGGCAGGCATTCCGTCAAGAAGCTGACCCAACTATCGAGAACACTGCGACTGCTGGGAGAGCTTAAGCCAGCCTGAAGACACTTGAGCAAGTTGGGAGGCGGCGATGTTGGCTTGGTCTCGGACTGCGTCGATACTCTGAGACTCTTGCTCGGTTCAAGACTCAATTTTCTCTTCTCTGATGATGGAGAAGCAGGTACATCGGAGATGATGATGTCTCGGAGCTTCAGTGCATCGAACACGACGTCCAGAAGAAGAACCTGGACGTAGGGGTCGGGTCCAGCGAGCGATTGCAGGAGGCGCTCGATGAGAACATTCTCGAGATGGAGGCTTGCCAGGGGCTCGGCGTAGGGGTTCAGGAGAATTTGGTGCATGACAGTCAAGGCATAGCGATGAAGTTGAGTTGCCCGTACTCGTATGTTCCCGTCTGCAGGTTCGTTGTTGCCAGCGATGCACCGTAGACAAACGTGGATGAATACCTCTTGCATTGAGATGTCACCTTCGTGGCCAGCTGTTGCGGGTTAACGTCAGGTACTTTGAGTCACAGAATTCTACTTACTCATCTGCGCGACTTCCGGATGGCCGCCGTCCACGGTGATCGTTGTAGAGGCCAGAACAGCCCAGATCACGTCTGGAGCCCAGCGGAAAACATTTGATAGCGTTCTCAGGTAGTAGAGACAAAGGTCTATATCGTCTTCAGCCGTGAAAGTCGTTGAGTTGGTCGAAGTCGATGCCGATCCAATCTCGTCGCTCGCTCTCAGGAACTCTAATGCAGAAAACTTCCTAACAAAAAGCAAGAACAGTCTGTTGATGTCAGTAAACGCTCAAGATCATTGTCTCCGAAGATAGGGAGACCCACTTATCGATGCCGACTAAGCTATTCAGCCATCCCTTGACAGTCATGAACAATTGAGTTCGTTCGTCTAAGAGGGCATCGAGCATGAGAAATAGAGGTCGCGTCAACATGACATCGTAGTTCTCTGACCCAGCCAGCCGGATCTGTGGAGGTTTCTCGGTCATTGGCGTTTTGGATCCGCGCCTTTCAACACTAGAATCCTGCAATGTATGAGACCAAAGCACGCTGAAGCGGCGGCCAGCATCGGCAGGACGCGATGCGAAGGATCCCTGAACGTCATTTTCGATAATGAGACTAGCCAATGCGGCTTCTATATCCCGATTCTGTGATGTAAGAGCAGTTTGGAGCTGCCATAACGATCTAACGGTTTCGACGTGGTACTTTGGTTCCGAAGCTGACAGGAATTCCCAAGCCTGCTGGACGAGTGGTGTGACAAGTTCGGTCAGGTTTGGCACCTCTATGCGCTCTGCAGAGTAAAGATGGGCGGAGAGGTACAGAATCGAGTTGAAGGAGGTAAAAGACAATCTGCTTTTGTTGTTCAAACACTCGTGTAGACAAGAAAGAAGGAACGTCGTGTCAAGCTGGTAAGTGGTCGGCACTTTGAGCAGCAGGGCGGTTAGAATCCTCCCTTTGGCGCCTAGTTCAGACCCTGATTCGGGGTTCTTCAATCCTTCGCAGACCAGCAAGCCTGACTTTTGCAACAGCAATTCTCCAA